AGGTGTCCACTGAGCCAGTACGAAGCTCGGATCCCCGGATTTCTCTGATACGAATTTGAGTGCAGTCATCGCTGTGGCCAAGGAGTCGGCACCAAGCTCACATATGCCCACTTCTGGCATCTCAGAGCAACTGGCCTGCACATCCTCCACAGAAGGATGCTGGGGACAGGTGCTAGACACAGTGGGGAGGGTGCTGCTCAGGAGGTCCACGTCGCAGACTGGGATGTCTGGGCTTAGGCTCTGGCTGCATTCCTGCCCAGCTTCCTGTTCAGGTGATGGCTCATGCGGTTGGGTTGTTGTTACCCTGTGAGAGAGCTAGATGAGGATTTGGCCTGCTAACCTTGGCCTCTGCAAGCATTTTGGAAGTGAGTAAGCATCTCTCTCTTTTTCTCTCCGCCTTTTAAATGAAAACTAATGAATAGAAATCTTTTGATGAGTGCGCTTAAAAATATTAATCATATTCTAGATGCTCTCTTAGTCATGTTTAGGCTTACACGGTTTGTGTTCAGTGTTAAGCATTGACAAGAGCCTGGCATGATGGCTCAGTGGCTGAATTCTCAGCTTACAAGAGTTGAGATTCCATATAGGCATATCCCGGCTGCTCCACTTCCCATCCAGCTCCCTGCCTGTGGCCTGGGAAAGCAGTCGAGGAAGGCCCAAAGCCTTGGGACCCTGCACCCGCATGGGAGACCCAGCAAGAAGCTCCTGGCTCCTGGCTTCAGATTGGCTCAGCTGTGACACTGTGGCCATGTGGGGAGTAAACCAGCGGATATGGGATCTTTCAGTCTTTCTTCTCCATAAATCTGATCTGCCTTTCCAATAACAACAAATAAAATCCTAAAAAGAAAAAGCAACAATAGCATCAATGAGATGCTGGCCTGGCCCAGCCCTGCTATGGCCCTCTGGGGAGGCAACAAGGACGGGCGGATCCTTCTCTGCCTTAGAAAAAACCTTCTAGAGTTAGGTGAATCCATTCTGCCTTGACATGAGACAGCTCATATCCCTGCCCTCTCAGTGCGCAGTTCATCTTTATTTCTGTGACGAATTTAAAGGTAACAAATATGAATTTCTAGTGCCTCCATTACTACTGAAGTTACACGCTGAATCTCAATGTTCATTTCCTCTGATGTTTACCCTTTTGTAAGGATCATGCAAAAGTTAAGCCATCCCTGGGCCCGGCAGCATGGCCTAGCGGCTAAAGTCCTCGCCTTTAACGCCCCAGGATCCCATATGGGTGCCGGTTCTAATCCCAGCAGCTTCACTTCCCATCCAGCTCCCTGCTGGTGGCCTGGGAAAGCAGTCGAGGACGGCCCAAAGCCTTGGGACCCTGCACCCATGTGGGAGACCTGGAATGAAGTTCCTGGTACCCAGCTTCGGATCGGCGCAGGATTGGCGCAGCACCGGCTGTTGAGGTCACTTGGGGAGTGAATCATCGGATGGAAGATCTTCCTCTCTGTCTCTCCTCCTCTCTGTATATCTGACTTTGTAATCAAAATAAATAAATCTTTAAAAAAAAAAAGTTAGGTCATCCCCACTTTTTTTTGTGAACTGGAAGATGGACAAAGCGGTGGCGCAGGCAAAGTGAGGCTTGTGAGCAGTTCCACAATATGAAGGGCCTGTTGCTTGTCTTTACCTAACGTTACAACAGGAACACATGCTTGTTGCAACAAAAATATATTTCAACAGGGCCCACACGTACTGTAAAACTCACAGTACCCCTTTCCTGCCTGTCCCATCAAGTCCTGTCCTCCCAAAAGACCCTTCTTAGCCCTTCCGCCTCCCTCCTGAGTGTCTCCTGTGGGACCGGTGCTAGCCGTGGGCACAGAGGGGCCATCAGGAGAAAAGCCTGCAGACTTGAAAAAGAATGGCTTCTTCATGCACAGCTCCCAGGGCATGCTCCAGGGTGGTCGCTGGGAAGAGAAGCTGAGAGACTGTACCAGGTGTTTGTGACCGAACGGGCAGACAAGCAGGGTCAGGTTGGATTACCCTGTCTGCCTTCATCCCAACCCATATGAAAAATAGGCTGCTCAGTGCAGCTCCAGGGCTGTGCCCTTTGTTAAGTGTTGTCCCTGGAGTGTAACCCTTTTCCTTTACAAAGTGGAATGGAAAACCCAAGCACAGGCCTGCCTTTGCAGCCGGAGCCCTTCTCCCCACTTTGGCAGCTCCTTGTGGAAGGCGACAGCCACCTTTTATCCATCCTGCTTCCAGAGCATGGTTTGAAATAACATCCACTGCCCGCAGTGCCGTACCCACTTCTGGCTGGAGGACTGGCACCGAAGTCAAGCCTGCAACCAATGCCAAGGCCTGGGTAGCGTCTGCAAGGTGAAAGGGGACCCGCTCCTTATTATCAGAAAATCTTTTGGCAGAAAAATGATCTGATTGTTCAAATTCTTGATGCTGAGGAAATGGGTTATAAATGAGAGAAAGCATCACCAAACCGACCCAGAGCCTGTGAAAGGCCTTATTTTTTCCTCTGCTTTTTAGTGGGTGCAAATGTCCTTGGAATTGGGCAGACCAAGTCAGGGGCCATCTGACTCCTCTAACTGTAGGGAAAAAAAAAACACAAACTCTTTGTTTTTAGAAGTTCTGCCCTCTTCTTCAGCTTTAAAATCTCATCACTACTGCTTCTTCCTGCAGCCTTACCGCAGCAGGCCCCTCCCCCACAGGGCTCCCATTTTGCCTACTGGATTATCAGATGCTCCGGCTTTAGATGAATTACTGTACCAGAAAACACAGCGGGGAGTTAGTACCAGGCTTGTTGTTTAAGACACAAAACATTGTATGAGAAAAATGTGTCTGAGACCTAACCTGAAAAGGTTTATTTCAAGGATATTCACTCTATTTAAAAAAAAAAAAAAAAAAAGCGCCTTGCTTTCTGAACCCACAGGGTAGAATTACATAGTAAGACTCCAGATGATGTTGGGTGTGTGTGTGTGTGTGTGTGTTGGGAGGAGTTACCGTATCATGTTAGTGTTCTAATTCTATGTAACACATCACTCTCAAACTTAGCACCTTAACATTTACCAGGCTGCCGTGGTACAGTGGGATAAGCCACCACTTGTAATGCCAGCCTCCTGTTATCAGAGCTCTGCTGCAAGCCTCACTGCTTTGCTTCCAACTCACTCCCTGCTAATGTGCCCTGGGCCCCTGCCACCCACGTGGGAGATGCAGGGATTTTAGGCTCCTGGCTTCAGCCTGGTTCAGACCCAACTGTTGAGACCATCTGGAGACTGAGCCAGTAGATGAAGACTTCTTTGTCTTATCCTCTCTTACTACTTTGTCTTTCAATTAAACATAAAAAAGCACCCCTATTTATCTCAGGTGGTGATGGGACTCCAGGCGTTTCACGAGCTGGCAGCCATGTCCCGGCCTGCCTGGGGTTGCAGGGTCCCCATCCACGTGGCACCTAGTCTCTTACGCACTTCGCAGGCATCCTCACAACACTTCTCCCAGACGGCAAGCGAGCGCACGGAGTGAGATAGCTCCCACGGAGTTAGCCTTTCCATCGTTCCGGAAGAGCCATCCCATCCTGCATCCCGTATTCGATTCCTAAGAAGCTGGTGCAGCCCACAAGGCACAGGAAGTGAAGCCCCCATCCTTGAAGGGAAAAGTATTCATCTTCGGACATATATTTAACATAATCACGCAGGTCTTAGAAGTTCCCTACAGCCAGTGTCTTCTTTTTCAGTCTGCAGCAGAAGCCAACAACTTCTTTCCTGTGAAGGACCAACTGGCAACCATTTAGGGCACTTGGGGCCAGATTCCCTGTTCCTACAAAGAGATAAAATAACTACATGTCAGCAAACCATGTACAAGTGAAGGTGGCTTGGTCCTGGGAGCTGAAACATCTCAACATCATGATGCGTGTTCGGGGAGAACACGCAGCCTCGTGATTAGACGATGGTTCAGAGGCCTGCAGCCTCCCGCTGCTGTCACGCTCAGCTCCCGCCTCTGGGTGTGGACTCCAGCATCCTGGTAGTGTGAGGCGGTGACAGTGGCTCAGGGCAGTGGGCTCAGCGAGCGCGAGAGCCACTGGGGCCATTTAGGGACGAACCCTGGAGAGGGGCTTGCTCCATCAAGTAATTAATTTTCACAAATTGAAGTTTCTCAGGCAACAGTTTTTACATGGTCACTTTTCAGTTGAATTTAAAGGTCAAATCTTATCAGTCTCTTTGAGGAGATGTTTTGGAAATGAATAACGTGCTAGTGAATCATTTCTCAACGTGACTTGTTTTTGTGCTTCCAAAGGGCTGACGATGCTGGCCCTTACGCCAGTACTGGGAGTTAACACCCCCATGTTCTCAACCTCAATAAAGAAAAAAGTAATAAAGAATTTCTTCTCTGAAGTATGCACCTTCTTTTTGAAGTGATTTCACTGAATTTGTTTTTTTAAATTATTATTATCTCAGATTTATTTTGACAAAGTTACAGCCCGAGAGGGAGGGAGGGATGAAGAGAGGAAGAGAAAGGCTCTTTCACACGCTGGTTCACTCCCAGGCAGCTGCAGTGGCCAGCACCGGGCCGGGCTGAAGCCAGTGGCTTTATTTCGGGTTTCCCGGGCGACTGGCAGGGTCATCTTTCTCAGCTTTTCCCAGGCCATCAGTTCAGAGGAATCAGAAGTGGAGCATCTGGGACACAAACTGGAGCCTGCATGGGATTCCAGCACTGCAGGTGGCAGCTTCCTCTGAAACGCCACAACATTGACCCAGCTTTTCAATTTCTGTAAGTGCACGAGGACGCTGAGGTGGAGACAGCGCTTGCTCGGAAGCACTTGGCTGACTCACAGATATGGAATTTCTCGGCTCACAACGGCAGATGCGCAAACCCGACGTCAAGAGACCGAGTGAGGAAACTGGATCCCCGTGGACACCCGCAGCCCCAGACACAGTTGGGGTTTGGGCGAGCACTGAGCCCCGCTGCCACTTTAGCCGGTTCATCTCCACCCCACAGCATGTCGCCCCAGTCTCTCAAAAAAAGAAAAAAGGATGCAAGAGAAACACTCCAGTTTTACTAATAACTTTATTTAAATAAGACACAGGAACTTCTCTACTGAAAAAATACAAAACAGAAGCCACACATTTCCTTGTGTAAAGCCATATTGTCTGATAACTCAATACTGTTCAGCGCAGTGGCCAGAATTAAACAGTACAACTATATACAAAATTTAAACAACCGCTGACAAATTTCTACAGCTGGATGTAGGATACATTTGAGCTCAACAACTTCTGGGAAATTTACATGGCAAAGCATAAGCTTTAACACATTTGGTTCAAAACTTTAATATATGCTAAGAACAAATGTACAACACAATTAATAGTTTTTCATGAGAAAAATAAAAGCACGTGTCACTATAAATATCGTACATCAGATTTCATCACCAGAAAAGCATATTCAGTCCATCAATCTGAAATTGATACTATTGCATCTTAGTTGGACAAAACCAGGTCACAAGATCAATCGATCAGCTGATGCCGAACCGGACAGCAGAAGTTAAATGGAGCTCATATTTATCATACAGAACTAGGAATTTTCTCCCTTTAACCATAATCTACAAAATATAGTATTTTCATCAAGGCCTGAGATTATTAGGGTTAAAGGTGTCTGCTGTTGAAAAGATTGTTTGAAAAGGTTCCCCTGTGAAAAATGGCAAAAGTGAACTGAGTCACTGTCTCCATGACAGTCCCCTACAATGTAACACTGACTGATGGGAAGGAGCCCGCCGCACCTTCAGGGGAGAATATTACTGCAAACTTTGGTGGAGATAATTGGGATCATGACAACAATACACAAAACGCAAGCACACACACACACACACACACACACACACACACCCCTAGTTTTCTTTTTAAAAAAAATCAATGGTGTTACTTCCCTTTTATATCCCCTCCATTATTCTTCAACATCCTTAGAAAATACACAAAACAAAGAGAAGCTCAGGGGCGGCTCTAGGGAAAGAAGCGCCTTCTTTCAGGAGGCGCTCTAATTCCTACGAGGCCCAGGCCCGGTGCGTGACGTGCAGAGCAAACAACGCCAGGTTTCCCAGAACTCAAGCCTGAGTCAAAACGCACGCATTCCCCTGAACTCGTGGACACTCTGTGCTACTGAAAACAACACCTACCAGTCTGTTCACCCTTGCCCAGTCAGCAGTATCTGGGCCTGCCCGCTCACCTCTCTGGAGAACTTGACTCTGCAAGTTCAAGGCTGTTTATCTGGACAGAGGTTGTTACACTCCCCAAATCTTTAAACTATTCATGATAGTCTTACGTGAGGCTTAAATCAGACTGCTTCAAATAATTGCTTTTCTAAGTCACCAAATAACTTGCTTTCTTATCTTGTGTCAGTCTGAGATCCCCTCGTTCTGTGACTGCAACTCGGGCACCTGAACTGCCTGCGCACGGTCACAAGGGCGCCGCGGCCGAATCTCCAATGAAACCATCTTCCACAGAGAAAGCAAACACAAAGATGCCTTTAGCTAAGCAGGCAGCAGTCAGGGCTGAGTGACAGCAAGGCAAATCCAACCACTCCTTGTGAAACTTCACTTGCTTTACGATGAAACCGAGACACTGCCAGGTTTCCATGTCCTCACGCAGGATGAGGAATGTTCACAGTCTAGTACTCAACACTTCATTTGCAACAATGCAACAGTCACCGAGCAACACAACAGCAACACAACACGGGGACACGTGCTGAAACAATGAATGCAACAGTTGTTCTACTCTAACCACATGACAAAAGCGATGTCACACACCACAGATTTGCTGGTTCTCATGTTCACCCATGTCCAGGACTCTCATTCTCCTTGGGTTGAATGCACTGCTTATTCTAAGAATGTGGAATGTAATGAGGAAAAGGAAATGCATAAAATAAGGAAAGGCAAAAGAGTGATGTTCCCTCTTTAGCTTTTTAGCTGTGAAATATTTAATATCCCAATATGATATACATTCCAAGTTACCTGAGTTTAGACTTCAACTGAAGTACCTGAAGCTAGGCCATAGGGTGGGCACTGTGCAACTGTTGTGGCCATTTGTTTTTGCATTGTATGTATTACAGAAGTTAGAACAAACACCTGGATCAATTGTAAACATAATCCTGAAGTACAGTATTTTCCATAGGACAAAACACAGCAAGACATTTTCTATTTAGACAGGCAACTTTTTGATATAGAGCTTATTTATACTGAAGAATTTGGAACAAAACACAGGACACAGTACTAATTTGTCAAACATACTATGAAATGCATAGTCTCCACTTAAAATGCTCAATGACACACACATTTTGCAAGCATTACTGCTTTCCACAAAATCTGCTGGATAGGAGTCCCGTCCCTGCCAAGATCAGTGTGCGGAGATGCTTGCTGACACTGCCGAGTGTTCCGCTGGTGGAGTCAGTGGTGTTTGGAAGGCCTATCACTCCATGCAGACAGAGGCCTCATCTGAGGAAGGGGGGAGGAGGCCAGCTCCCCTGGCGTTAGATGACCACAAAGCTCTGCGCAGAGAGGGGCTCTTCGCCCTGCAGTTCCTGCAGGAGCTGCTGCTGCTGGGCTGGCTGCGGGACCGAGGCCTCTGTGGGCTGGTGTCCTGCTGGGCTGGTGTCCTCGGAGAGGGACGTCAAGGAAACCCGGGAGGAGAGCTGCTCCACGGTCAGAGTGGCCAGAGTTGAGCTCTGGCTGGAGTTGGGAGAGTTCTTGAGCATCAGGTCAGAGGCAGGTAAGAGAGGGCCTAGAAGTTTTACAGGACAGAAAGCTGATCCAGTTGGGATGAAATTAACCTTGTTTTTGTCAGGACATGAAAAGAGAGGGGCCGAGATAGGCTGGCGAGACCTAAAATCGTAAAACAAAATTAGGCTTACAATTAAAACCATCAATACTTCTGAACCAAGTGGCGTTCTCAAAAACAGCTCAAATGTGAATGGCAAGGGAGGGGACGTGTACATGGTGGGTAAACATCTTCCATAGCACAGGTCAGCTGGCAGGCCACTGGAGGACACAGCGCTGAGTGAGACTCCATACTCAGGATTTTCCAAAGGATGGGAGGACAAACACTTTGAGAGATCACTGGCTTGCTTCCAATCATTTAGGAAGATGCAAAAACCTCCTACCTAGTAGGTGAAGATTATGCAAGGCAAGAATGACCTTTTCTGTTAAGGAAAAAGCACACCGAAGCCACTACCCATCAGGTGTCTGGCTTTACGCACTCAGTGCCTCCTTTCGCTAGCACGGACTGGGTGGCTGTCTGACTGTCGCTCTGGCAGAGGAGGGTCCACATCCCCGCCTCCTTCCATGCCCAAGAGCTAAGCCATCAGCTCCTACAAGCCTGCTCTCTCTTGAAGTACAGCAGCCCCGACCTGGCACCCTCAACAGGACAAGGGGACGTGTGAGTCCCAGGGCCACGCTGTCTCCCCAAGCTCGTCTGCCCAGGGGTTAAGCATGACCTCTTCCTCTCATTTCTAACTTAAATATATTAAAACTGCAAAATTGAAAAAAAACTGTCAACAGAAAATTTGAGTTCCATGAATAACATGCTACACATGTCCACGGGGGGTGGAGATGTCTTCCCCTGGGCTGGTGAAATACACTTTAGTCACACATGGGTATTAACTTTGTTCCCAAATGTCTTTTTGTTGGCCATCTAAATTAACAGAGTTCTTGAAATAATAATTATTTACAATAGAGGTTTTAGGTAGTAGGGGTGAATGCACAAGCCCCTTACCCAGTCTCCCCTCAGTGAGGTCTCTTTAGCCCTCTGCATTCTCTGTTCATATTTGCTCTGGAAACACATTATCAGCTGGATGGAGTAGTTGTTTCATCTGAGATCAACTGGCCTCAGTAAACAGCTCCACAGCTCTGCAGGTCCCAGCTGACAGAAAAGACATTACTTACGCCATTTCCTCAAAGACCTTCACTCGCTCACATCCCTCGGGGGGCTCCCGTTTGAACATGTAGCTGTTGTTTGGTTTGGGAGATGAAGCATACTTGGGTAACGGTGAGCTACTCCCACTGTCTGTAAATTTAAAGCAGTTATATTAACTAGTGGTTGAGAGCGCTTTTAAACTGATTCCCCACAAAGAGCCTTTTGCACAACTTAGCCACGCTTGTCCCTCTGCCTCCATCACAGAGCTCTTTCATGGAGGAGCTGCTGCAGTCGCCCCTGGGTAGCAAACAGCTTTCAAACACAAACTCAGTGCAGTGGTAACCTGCTACATCATCACAGAACGCGACAGCAGAACCTTCTGGTTCAGAAAACAACATTCTGAATAAAGCAGAACTGTAATGCTCAAAACAGGCATGCCATTGACTATGGATTTCAGAAACGGGAGTGAAGCTCCCGTTTCAGACTATGGATTTCAGAAGTGTGAGCTACAGTCACAAGTTTTCTAGTAACTTTCTCTCTGTCCAAGCAAATTAAATGAAAAATTTTAGCATGTGAAATAATTTTCATTACAAAAGTTTTTCACAAAAATGTTGCTTCTGTTCACACCACAAGTAACATGTAGGCAGGGCAACACAGGGCACAGGCCCTTCCCGTCTGGCCCCCAGGACAAAGTGACTTCCTCTGAAAGTGGCCTTCTTAAAAATGCCTCTATAAAAGGGCTTTTTCAACACACTTTGCAGTTTTTGCTACTGGAAGACATGAGACATCCAAAAACATCTCTACCTAATATGTTTTCCTCTATTTCTGACCAAAAGCAAAATGGTCTATTCATGAAAAGCCATAAAACCTATATGCAATCTCTCCCTTTCCTACCTGGCAAAGGATTTGGAAATTCAAATCCACCAAAATGTGTTATTATCTTTGTAAGATGCCAAGTTGTAAAGTCAGTAACATATTTGTGTAAATATAATGGTACTATTTATACAAATTCTGACTTATGCAAACCAATCCCAACTGTTAAAATGCTAAGCACATGATTGACTGACATTTATTATTTTCATCTGTTTTGAAAGACTGCATTAGCACCATAATTATATTTGTCATAATTTTCATAAGCTGCTTTAGTTTAGCCACAGCAAACAATCCAACATTCAGACACTGAGTAACAGGAACATTTTTATAATCATTAATGAAGTAGATTTGGGACGTACACTGATGCTATACTCTATGAATGACTGACAAGGCATATGGACAGCCTTGGTGAATGCAAACCTGTGCTTATTTTTTAATATTGTGACATCTCTGGATGGGATCATTGCCTGCAAAATAACAAGGCCACAGCACTGGGGGAATCAGAAAACTGTATCTCTTAGAAGGAATTAAATTTGGGAATGAAGTTGGGTTTCTTCACGTGTAATTCAGATTTGAGATCTTAGCTTGACAGGTATCCTACACCCTGCTCATACAACTGGGATGGAGAAGGAAGATTAAGTGCTTCCCTTAGCACGATGGCAAGCCTGACTGGGGCTCACTGTGCAGCTCTCTGTCTGAGCAAGGCTAAACTCTTGGGACTGCTCAAAAACTGGAGAGCAGGAGGCTTCTGACTTCTTATCCTACCAAAAAATATATCGTGACCTCTAAGATCCAAGCGGCAACAAACCATGCAAAAGTACAAGCGAGCAAGGTGACAAGTAGATACTGCATGAGACGCCTCCACAGAGATCACCGCTGGGCACAGAGTCAGCGCCAAACCACACGCGCCACGGCAGTAAGGCTGCTATCCCATCAGCGGGGATGGAGCCAGCCTGCTCTCCAGTCAGGAAAGCACGTGGGCCACCGTCACGGCCCTCCACGTAACCGTGGGGGCCACAGGTAGAGCTGTGCACCTGCTCCTGCTTCCTGCATCAGCAGGCCGACCACATCCTGCCTTCCCAACGTCACTGACAGCTTCCAGCAACTTCTTCAGCATTGAAAGTGAGATATGAGCTGCAAACCCTGTAAAACTGATATGTTCCTATTAACAACCTGATGTCTGATGAGATTTTTTTATTCCAGATGCTACCAATGTATTTTTTAGAGTTTTGGCTACAGTAACTTTATTTTCCAAGTTTTTTTTTCCAGTTGGAAGGAATTATTAACTTTAAATAAATAAGTATATTGTTGGGCTAGTCAATGTTATTATAGTCCCGTCTTCTCAATAAAACTTACTTGGTTTTTAACTGATATTTGTAACTATTACATTTATAACTATTATACAACTATTGTAACTAATGATATTTATAACTATTATTATATCTATAATGCTTGGTGGTAAAGAAGTGCAAGGCTTGAAAGGAAATAATCGATCTATAAACAATATTTGTCAATCTGAGTCTTTCCTCAGACTGCACAAGGCCCAGGGCCGGGAGGAAGGCAGTCTGTGGCTTCAGCTCGGACATGGCTGTTTACCTGCAACACAACTGCCTCTCTCAGTTTCTCTGTAGCTCAAGAAGTTTCTACTCCCAAACTGCAAAATTCTGTGAAGGAACAACATGTATATTTGCTTTGCACACTGACATGCTTAAAATCAACCCATATGACCAACCTATGCCAGACCTGAATGTATAATGATTCACTTATTCATTCAAAGCCCAATGTTGAATTTATTAACCACATTGTAACAACAGAACATTATAAACATGAGGTGGGCAAGCCCACTCAGGACACAGAGCCTCATGGTAATCACAACTCAATCTTTTTGTGTTTAAACATGGTAAAAATTCTGATTCTATTATCCTACATGGAAAAAATACTTGATGATGTCTGCAAATACAGTTGAAATTAAACATTACTGTTTGTCTCCAAACACAGCCAATATCAACTGGCAAAACTAACCATCATAATGAAAAATTTGCAAAGGTACTAACACTTGGAATTTTATGCACGAATAAAATCATTAAACTATGTGCACTGTAAAAATATTTGTTGATTTTTTTAATTTGAAGGGTAGACAAAGACAGGAACATCCAGAAAGAGAGTGAGAGAGTCAGACAGGAAACGAGTTTCTGTTGGCCGACTCCCCAAATGCCCCTGACAGTGATGCCTCAGACAGGCGGAAGCTGGCAGCCAGGATGGAAATCCAGGTCTACCATCAGCAGGGAACTAGAAGCGCAGCGGGACTCAGCCCTAGGCTCTTCCATACAGGGCGCAGGTGTCTGAAGTGACATGCTAACTGCTGTACCTGAAGTCTGTCCCTGTGTGTATTTTTATAGCTTAAGAGTTTTCTTACTTTCTCAGAAGTAATCTTCATTATTTCTGGTATATTAAATTCTGTGGCCAATACTTTCACTTCCAATATTAAAAAATTATATATATATATATTAAAGTGAATTCACTTATCCAAGTAGGTGTTTGCTAAGATTCTGTTCTAGTCCCAAGTCTAAGAGTTTCACCTTTCATGGTACTTACCAAATTAAGCAAAATTCCAAAGCAAATAAAACTCAATAGTGGTTTTAACCCTAGTTTCACATTGTACTCATCAGATGTTTAAAAAATACCAATGTCCACTTTATGTCTTAAAGATTCCGATTTAGTTAACCTGGGGAACAGCCCAGACATTTTCAGTAAATTTCTAAATTACATCTGAAATGCAGCCAAATTTCTGAGAAGCAATAGTGAAAAGATTTAAGAAAAGCTTTTTAGAATGAGGTTACTTTAATTCTTCATGGGCCTAACTGATGTAGTGCTAACACTGGGTCCTTTTAATAAGAACAACTAGAATAACTCCAAAAGATGGCTTGAAAAACTTATATAAAAGGATTATGAAAGTCACAGAAACACAGGAAGCTTTCAATCTTATAACAAAAAGAATGTCAGGGGCCACCACAGTGGTTCAACTCCTCCTCTACTTCTAAGCACCAACATCCTGTACCGGCACTGGTTCGAGCCCCAGCCGCTCCACTTCCATCCAGCTTCCTGCCTACGGCCTGATGGAGCAGTGGAAGAAGGCCATAGTCCTTGGGACCTTGTACCCACATGGGAGACTGGAGGAGGCTCCTGGATCTGACTGCTCAGCCCCAGCCCTCCCGGCCGTGCTGGGGAGTGAGCCAGTGGTTGGAAGATCTTTCCTTCTCCTTCCCTTTGTAGATCTGCCTTTCCAATGTAAATAAATACATCTTAAAGATATGTAAATTCAAACTTCAATTTACTAATTTAAAAAGGTGAGGCATTCAGAAATTAAAGGCCTATTCTCTCAGCAGATGAAGGCTACAGAAATATTTTACTCCATTGAGAAACCGAACGCTATTCCAGCACATGAAGATAAAATTTAATTTCTGGAGGAAACCAAGAGTAATATCTGAAAACTTCCTCTAAGCTTATCACTGCTTGGCACGGGCTAGGCCAACTCATGATGGCAATTTTTAGAATACAGCTACTTATCATCCTGAAATTCAAGCCAATGTCTTAAGTCTACAGCCCTGTGCAAAGAAGAGTTTGCCAGGATAAACAGCAATAGTAAGTGAATGTGTTTCTTACTGTCTTTCCCAGGTGGCTAACTAACGTAGCCACCATTATGGTAAGTGACATACCAAGGGATAATTAGCTCAGAGTCTTGGATTAGAAACAAGCCTGACTAACCTGGACCTAAGCAAAATTACTAACCTTCCTGTGCACACTGCTTGTGCTGCCTTAGGAAGTGAAACTACCAACTGTCTTGTGGTTTGATGGGCTAATGAAATCACGAATAAACACATTAATAATTACACAGAATTTCTTGACAATAAGTTTTTAAAACTGAGTAAGACCACTACAAAATGCATAAAAAAATTTTACATTTTTAGTTAACTATATTTGGCTTTTATAAATAGCTTCAATAGCATCTCTCAAATTTTGAATTTAATCCTTTATGAAACTGATATAAATTTTGCAGTCAATAAAGGGTAAGAACAACAATGACATCACATTTCACTACTTATTTCCAATTGGTTTCAAATCAGATTTTAAAAAAATCTAGCACTCAACAGATTCCAAATGTTAAAATTATTAATGTAAACTTTGTAACATGTAGGAGCTGTTTTATATTTTATCATTAAATTCACTAAGTAGTAACTGCTCTGATAGCAATCTATGAGTTAAGGTGTTTCTTCCAG